TCCATTTCTCTTACTCTTGTGGTTTCAACTCTAAGGTCGTTTAGTCAAAAAGACTTTTTATAGGAGCGAAAATCCGCCGTTTCTTGTCAAATCATTTTCGCTGATAGAAGTATACTTTATTTTCTCCTATCTAGAGCGCTCAACTCAATATCTTAGGGTGAATAAGCATTTTATTAGTCGAGATAGAATTCCACTGCAACACAGAGTTTTCCCTCATTGCCGGACGTACAGCCACCCCATAATTCTACTCATCTCTCATTTGCCTCTGAAGCAGATTCCTCACCGGGCGTCAACCAAATGTTCCCTAGTGCCATCTAGCTCTTCACCTGAGCACATTTTCGCTGAGTCAGTTAAAACCTGCTACTTTAAAACATCTCCAAGAAGCGATGATTACTCAAAGGCTGCTCCCAATTTTACCAGGAAGCTTGGCCTTAACAGTAAAGATGATCTACTCCCAGAAGCACAATCCACCTGCAGGACTTGGAATAATAAATTAGTTAATAAACCTGGGTCGAATCCATAACGTTCCCGTGCGAAGGTTCGCAAGACTGACCTACTGGTGAGACCGAATAAGCCAGATAATAGCCCAGGGCGATCTTCACTTACTCCTTTCCCGAATTCTCAGCTTAAGGAAGACACCACAGTTTTGGCACCAACTAACAGATCAGCATGTAATATGCAAGTATACAATTTTGCTGATAGATTTCCCAATCCCACAGCTAGGCTTAAACCGCAAATAATAAAGCCTTCTCATGATGTTAACAGTTTCTATAATCCAGCTAGTCCCGTTTCTAGCATAAATGCTCAACATTATCAAAAACCTGCTTTATACCTCCTATCTTTCCAAACCCGCAAAATAGCCTTCCCCTTCATGGGTCCTGTCCAAATGTGTTTCCATACAATGCTGCCTCTATTGTTAGTCGTAATTTTCGCACAAATTTCAGACCACAGCAACTTTGTTCTCCGTCCTATACTTCTTCTCTACAGCTAAAATTTACATCACCGACTCTTCCTTTGCTTATACATTATAATGAGCGAAACCTACATATTAGGAATACGCTCAGTATCGTTTCTGTCAAGGCAAGATGGCACAATTAAGGAGTGTGTGATCTGAACCTTTCTTCCTTCTTTGGAAGTCTATGTTTCGCTTCGGCAATCCTTTCGCAAAATAGGAAAGCCTTGATAGGATGTGTATATAATTCTCCTTGCTACTTCGGAAATGAAAGCCAACTCTGTGAGCTCTTCGACAAAATCGCCGAGACTTCATTCGAGGTCAAGATAATTCTGGGAGATTTTAATTTGCCAGAAATTGACTGGCACATAAGTACTTCCTCCTCTAGATTCCAGAAGACTCTAAACACTATTAACTTTTCGAATCTGACTCAATTAGTCCAGTCTTCTACCAGAAACGATAGTATATTACATTCAATTTATGCTTATGACATCCTCTATCACGACCTTTTTAAGACTGGTCATTCATTAATTCATTGTCGTCTTCCAGTTGCCATTTTCGCAAAGCCAACAGTAAAACGTAACTCTTTTGCTTTGATAATAGTAGCAAGAAATTATTTAATAATTTCACAAGTACCCTTGATTCTCACAAGCTTTTTTAAATTATGGTTTAAATTTTTCCTCCGTTTGATAACTAAACATAACAGAATATATTCTCCACCCCAGTCTACCGAAGACGCTGAAATCGAATGCCAATTACTGTAGTGTCCCAAATTTAGTTAAAAATAGACCTAAAAAGCTACGGAGGCAGCTTCAAAATCCATCCATAAGCTCATTATCGGTTCACCTAGGGATCGCTGACATACTTAAATTAACCTCAAAAATGAGGCTCGCGTGAGATAACCGTAGAGAGTATTTAACTATTAGTGGTGCGATTGCTCCAAGACCACTTGCTCAGCTCTTCCTTCAAAGTTCATCAGCTGAGTCCCACCAAGTCATTCGGCATTTGCTAAGTTTCAACGATGCCTTCATTACAGAGGAGTCAGGAAAGGCAGAAATGTTAAATTTTATTTTTTCCCAAACACTTTACCATTGAGACTGACGCATACCCTTCAATTCCTCCGTTGTCTGATGCCTGCCTCACCACCATTAATTTTGCCCCTGCTAATATTCAGAAGCTGATAAGCCAGCTTACTAAATCTCACTCAGTAAGAACTGACAACATCCCGAACTCTCTTATAAAACAGATGGGAAATTTTCCTCCTCTGCTTAGCAAACTCTTTTCATTGTTTTCCCAAAATTATTTTTTTCCTGACTATTAGATAACGTCTATTACTATTTCAGTATTTAAATCTGGTTGTCGTTCTGATGTTCAAAACAATCGAGGTGTCCATAAAACACCTTGTCAAAATCTTTGAAAAAAATTCCGCCAAGAAAATTACTGACTTCAGTATAACCAATCAAATTATTAGACCTTCCCAACATGGCGTCCTACCCGATCGCTCTTGTGAAACGCGTCATATGTCGTATATCAACCGCCTCACCTCTTATCGTAATGATCATTTATGTGTTGTCGTTATTTATTTTGATCTTAACAAAGCCCATGGTAAAGTGACACATAGAAGATTCCTAGTTAAATCAGAAGCTCTGGGATATTGCCGTCCCTTTATTGACTTCTCAAATCATACCTATGTAATCGTAGGCAAAAGGTCTTAGTGAGATCTTTATTTTCCGATGAGAGCCCTATTGAAAGTGGTGTCATACAAGATACCGTTTTAGGTCCTCTTTTGTTTCTACGTTACATAACAATATCTCGTCGGCAGTTAATCATTCACAATCCTTTATTTATGCTGATGATCTCAAATGTGTATATTTATTCAATAGATTTACGGGCCTTTATTGCCTAGAGCAAATTCATGCTGACTTGCCTCCCCTTGCAGCATGGAGTTCAAAATGCCTAATTGAATTCTCTCCGTCTAATTGTAGTTCTATGTGTTTTGGACCTGATAGGCTATCTCAACCAGTAGTATTTCAAGGCACACCTAGGACTGAATGTACCACCATCGAGGATTTTTGTTTAAGCTACACCAATAATCCAGATCTCGTGCACCACACTGACAGAATTACCGCCAAAGCCGTCCAGATTTGTGGCTTTATTTCTTGCTCTTTATATCTTCCAGAAAATAAATTTGTTAGGACGGCCCAGAACATGACGCACCGTTCCTCTCATCCGGCGGCCATGCCTGACAAAGGACCAGAACCCCCAGGTCGGTCTCGCCAAGTAAGCCTGCATGCGAGCCAGAAATTAGCACGCCACGGACTTACGCGCGTCCTTCAGGAGTCAATAAGACGCGAGGGTCAGCCTATTCGGGCGCTGAGGACTGGACCAGTGGGAACACGCAAACCAGACAAGGGCAGAACCCTTAAATACGATCGATATTTGCTTTAGGAAATATAAGTACATGAAATGAAACCACAATCACAGTTTCCGAAATATCCAAGTCGGTCCGTAAATAACCACTCTTATATGACACTTGATAAGACATCACTTGAAGCATTATTCCTTTGTCCTAACTTTGCATACCCCGTCGAGAATTTAATCAGTTAGAATTGGGAACTCAGTTCGAGAACCTATAGATCCAGGCGTCGTTACAATGAACAGATTGGATTACGTAGCAAAGATACAGTCTTTAACGTCGCACCTATGACTGAATGTGCCACCATCAAGGATTTATGTTTAAGGTGCGCAAAGCAGACAAGGACAAAACCCTTATGAAGGGCAGAACCCTTAAATACGATCGATATGTGCTTCAGGAACTATGAGTTATTGCTCTAGAAAGGAGGGAATAGGTTTGCTGACGGAGAAATGGTGGAAATTCTTCTGTTGCAACTTGGACGAATGGAACACGAGAAGTATGTAAAATTCGTCCTACCGAAAAAAACCGACCGAACTCGAATTCACGGAGACGGTCAGAATCCTGAAAATCTTGTTTATCTATTGAAAATCCTTGTTTGACAGACGTTTTGAATGTGTTAAAGTGGAGAAGAGGGTAGATAAAGATTATTTTGATTTGGTAGGCAGACTAAGTGACATATGCCAACAAGCTGATCTAGAACAAGCAACGACAAACCAGGTTAAGGCCCCTCTTACTCTACCGGAGGACGCGGTCATACGCAGGTGGCTGCTGTCTAAAATGAATCTAAATGGTGTTATGACCGTGCAGAAGTAAGTAGATAAATGTTTTAAACTCAGGAAGATTAAACAGGATACAAAGTTGATTTGCAAAACAAACATTCAACAGGTATAGGTGTATTAGATCAGGAAAAGTCGGCCGTCACAGAGGGAAATATTTCCTGGAGGGCTAAAGGCGGCCTGTTGGTAGTGCGGTGGATGGTACTATGCCGCTGACTGCCCCCCCCCTAAAATGCAGAAATGTTTCAAATGTTGGGGTATGCGCCACAAATCGGCCTTCTGCATAACTATAGGGACGAGTCTTAGGAAAAAGTGCAACGACGTGTCTGATAGTGAGACGCGGGTGCTAGGTTGTGAACGCCGAAATTACCTATCTGTGATCATAACTGAGAAAGCCGTCAGACCTCAAGTGGTCAGGACGTCTGATCTGACGATTATGAGGGTAGGAACGTGGCAGATGATAGGAACACCTAGTCATACCCCAACTCATATCATTGAATGTTGAGCACAAGGGCGAAAGCCGCATTCCCTTAATAAACTGACTTATCTCTTGTCGGCACCGAGGCGCAGGGCATTTGCAGGGGATTGCCCGTTCCGTCAGCATCGCTGTCAAAGCTGTATCCAACTGCGACCCCGAGATGGGTTCTGCAAATTAATGGCAACATATGGAAACAAGCTTTGCTACACCAGTTCTAATACCAAGAGCCGTTTTTTGACTAAAACGCAAGTCGTAACCGCAGTCTGTTGGAAATCCTCTCAGCCTATTGCCCAATACCCAGCCCAGTGGGCCAGTTATAGAAATATTGTTAATGTTCTACTCAATGACCAAGCAGTCCGACTACAATTGGGCACTGTCTCAGGCATCATCATCATCATCATCATCATCATCATCATCATCATCATCATCATCATCATCATCATCATCATCATCATCATCGTCGTCATCATCATCATCATCATCATCATCATCATCGTCATCCTCGTCGTCGTCATCATCATCATCATCATCATCATCATCATCATCTTCTTCTTCTTCTTCTTCTTCTTCTTCCTCTTTGCCCATACATTTTATCTGAAAATATGTCGAAAATATTGGCCAGCTGTTTCTTTTTTTTCGGCGCATGCTGCTATGTGGACACCAACAGTGTCCCCCTATACCTACATCGGGCTGCCGAGGTTTTATTGAAAAAAATGAGAGTATTACCATAGATTATTGATTAACCCAGTTCAGGTAAACAAACGTCACCGGTAAATCAGCCGCTGCATTTCTCATTCTTCTTCTTCCTCCTCGACAGTCCCATCAACATCCCCTGCGTCATCGTGGTCATCAAGTCGAACGTCATCGTCGTAATCATTCGCACAGATGTCTTTGAAGGCGATGCAGATTCCGCGAATCAGTATTTTCATAATAACTTGAAAAGCCTCACAAAATTATTCCGATTTTTGTGGGCAATCCAGAAATACTTTTAAGGATAACTGTCGCGCTTTATTCATGGGTCAACAATTCTCATAACGGCGGTTGATCCTGATTAAACCTCTCTTGCCAATAAACTTTAAAACCCACATCCAGTCGTTTCTCGAATAGTCTCCTTGATGACACTTATTTTGGCTAAAGATATTGGTTTCCACTAATGTCGACATCATATGCATACTGAGAGCACAGGTGTGCGTGTTACAAAACTGCGAAAATTCCTCATTTCAGTAGTTGATGATGAGCTACGCTGCGTGTTCGATGCGCGATAAAATTCAGTCTTTTGAGCAAGTTCAGCAGTAAAGTTTGCATATTTCCGGCCCACGCCACGCACGCATGCAAGGCGACAACGGCGACGATGCATATGTCCGCCGTTTGGTTCCGGACTGTTATCCTGTTCGAGAAGTTGTCTATAACGAAAAGGGAGCTGAATGATGCTGACGACGTCGTAGGGCGCATTTAAGCTTACTACTTAAATACCTGGTTAGCCAGCGCAAAGCAGCTCGCGCGACCACTACGTCTTAAGACCAGGACACACAGTAAGTACCTGTGTGAATTTCAGACTTGGCAATGACATTCAAATTTTTGTGCATTTCAAGGCAACAATGTTGATGAACCCAATGTCACTTAGCGACAGGGCGTATTTAGTTTTACGATAAACACGCCAGTGCGCCGAAAAACACAAATCAGTGGCGAACGTGTTTTCTAGTGTCAGTCTTTGATTTATGTCATATTCCAACCAAGACCTCGTAACATACTGGAGCAAATTGGACAACCATTAAAGGGATCAGATCTGTCAGTGTAACGCAGACGGAATAAATTCAGGCAGTTCAGTCTTCCCATGTAGGATCGGTTCTTTAAACTCTTTATTAACATTGTTGTCCGGCCTTGTACTCTCTCAAGACATGTTTGTTCCTTTACTGGCCATGGCCAACACGCTTGTACGCCATATTCTAGATGGGGATGAACAACCCTGCCGTAAACTATCCCCAAAGGTTACAAACGCCCTTCTGATCGCAAAGAGTATTCTCATGAACATTATTGCAGCCTTGGTCCACTGCAGTGCCGATTTCATGCTGCTCTGGGTCCATACACTGAGGGCGTTCTGCGAAGATTCGGCGGGAAAAGTAATGTCCTTCAGGTGATATGCCCTCCAACTGTCATTTGAATGGCAGTTGATTGGCCGCAGATGAAGGACGGCACACTTCTGCACGCTGAAATCCAGAAGCCATTTCTCGGAACACGTTTGCAGTCAGCGAGGATTATTTTAAAGGGCCTTCTGGTCAATCGTGTCCTTAAGGACTTTCCAAAGGTGAACGGCGTCAGCAAAGATTGCTTCACTGCACTTGAGTTCTTGAAGGCTGTCATTGACATAAAGAATAAAGAGTATGCGTTCGAGAACTCAGCCGTGGAGAAACATCTGTTTACCAGGTCCGACATATCATTTCCGATACGGACACGCTGTTTTGCGTCCAACCAGAATCTCGCTTATCCAGTCAACAACGCCTCGTATGCCGACAACCGCCTTTTCACGCCTTACGGGGTTGTCGTTGACCACAGACACTAGGCAACTGGCTTACACCAAGAAATGAGGCCGATGGTGCCGCCTTTGGTTAGGAAGATGACTGAGTTCTAATCAAACGTCAGTGATCCTATGCATAATGCGGATTTGGGGAAAGATATCTGATAATGTCTGATATTCCTAAAGGGGTGACCGCAGATTTAACCATTCCTTTTTCCTGAAATGCATCTTCTAAAGACTTTTGCGTATGATGTTTAAGAAACCGGCACGTATGAATGTTAGCTTATAAGATAATGCATCGGGAATAACATGCGATCATTTTTTCACCCAGAGATACTCGCCATTCTAGTTTAACCGCCAGTTCAATACGCGTAAACCTTTCGAGTAGGTTCGAAGTGAACTTCAAAGGACCCCATATGTTTAAAGACCCTACAACATTTTCCGATTTAGCATCAGCTAAATTCCACCAAAAGGAACGTTTTGACTGCTAAAAATTTTTAGTATTGCTAGTTTTCATGGAGAAATAGATATAAGGTTTGTTGAAATGTTTTCGGCCCTTCAAGTTAAATGGATGAAAGCCAAGTAAAAGTTTAATTTTAAAATTAAGTTATTCCGTTGAGCAACGGTGGAGAAAATACACTTGGATATGG